ATACATATGTGTATGCGTTGCGTAGTTTCCAACTTGTGTCTGTCACATTGTATACCACTCTATGTTGAATGAGTCCGAGAGTGACTGCGTTCATGTTGCGTGACTGGAAGGATCGCGTGTGTGATGGGTACGCTTGATTAGTGTGTGTCTACGTCTATTGTTTCTGTAATGGCGTGCGGAACATTGCGAGGAGCACTCGCGGGGTCTCCGTGCCGGTCCAGCCGGTGCCGGAACGGAGCCGAAGACGGGAAAGGTCCGGAACGCGACTAAAGATCGCGGCGGATAGTTTTAACGCGCGCGGTCGAAGTCGCACGCGATCGCGTTTGCAATAGTAGAAAAATTGCCGTTTCGGGGGGCAATTGCTCGAGAAACGATTGCTCGCGCAATGCTGCGCACGCGCCTTCGTTTTTTGCCCGCAAACGCGGGTTCTGTGACCGTGGTAACGCCCTTTCTTCTCGTTGGTTTTTCCCACACGTAGTACGTTCTGGAGTTCCTTTACACCGCGGTAAGTTGCAGCTCAAGCTCTCGCTAATCGTTCATTATCCAAAAGAAAAAAAAAAAGAAAGAACAAAGTATCATCTATTGCTCGTTTCGCTCGTACATTCATCTTACATGTCTTTCGTATGACCCATTAATATGTAACACTTATGTATTTATATATCGAACCTTTAGCCTGCCTTTACACTGTCATTAATTTCCTAACGTTTCGTTCTGTCTCTTTTTCTGCCTTCTTTATTTTTACGCCGCCCATATAACAGCCTGTTATCATTTCTCATTATACGAATATTTGCGTTTCGCTAATGTTTGATCACACTTTGCTTATTTGTCTCTCATCTCTTTCATCGAACGCCACCTCCTATTCTACTTCGTCCACTCTCTTTCTCTCTCTCTCTCTCTCTCTCTCTCTCTCTCTCTCTTTCTCTCTCTCTTTCTCTCAGTCACTCTATCTACCTGTCTGACCTATCTATCTTTATTCACTTTCGCGCCTCATGGCCACGCTCGCGTTGATACGTACAGGAGATGAGTCGTTGACGGTTTTTGTGGCGGTTTATCCCGCTCGAGGTAGCGCCGCGTGCGCGCGTCTCTCGTCGGGTTTCCGTCTATATTTTTATAAAAATAGTCGAATACATGTTCGCAAATAAAAACGCCATGGACTTTGAAAAAACATACGAACGAGAAACAATCCTCCTTGCATTGATATCGAATTTACAACAAATATTCGGTAACCTACTTTTTCAAAATCCTCTTTGTAGAACACTCTCTCTTGTTTTGTAAAATCCACGTCAGAAATAGATCCAGGGCGAAGTTTAATGCTGGAAAAAAAAAGGAAACGGAATATTTTGAAAATAAGCATTATTCTGATTTTGAAGATTCTATTATATTTCTGATCGCTATTCATAGTTGATTCTTACATTCAAGACGTTCCTAAGTACAGTCTTAAGACGTCACAAATCAATCAAAAGGCCGTATCAATATCTTAAGACATTATTTGAAACAGTCTTGAAATAAGAACGAACTCTGAATATCGATCTATATGTCGTTTCCTTTTTATTATGATATACAGAATCTCATTAGTTATCGGATTATCTTTTATCTCGCTTATAAAAATATATAACGCTTGTACGCATCATCAGGGAGCGTCTGTCCATGAGCAAAACTCTTCACGTATACATTAAAGTCAACCGTACGAATTGTCTCTGTGTTATCTGTGATATGTCGTCAGATTGTTGTCTCCCTTTTCTGTTATGTCTTGTCTTCTTGTCCCTTAGATGCGTTAGCCATATGATTGATATACATAATAGTATGTTACGAGTCGTGTACTTACGAACCTGGTCTTGTGTTGTTTGTGTTTGCCAGGCTTGCACTTTATGTACCATCCTGTCGAACTTGTCTTATAGTGAACGTCCTAGCATTTTACACGAACGCTGACCTTATTGCGCGCCTCTTGCGTGAACGACTCTGTTGCGTTCTTTTTATTATATCGTTCCTTTTTCTATCATATTATATATATATATATATAAATATATATACATACGATACGAACACGAGATAATAACTCAACAAGTGTACATGTTCGCTTTCTGTTCTATCGACGGATCGGCAAGTATTGCTAATCGGCACCGTACAGTTCATGATGAAGAACCCTAAAGGACCGTCTCTCCTTATCCCTTGTCTGCGTCTATTATCACCTGTCTAAAATGTGCCAATAACCCGACACCAACGCCCTGTGTCTGTCTTTATCCGATATCCGAGGAAATCGAAACCCACCGAAATTATCACACCCAGACCCAGCCAATCCCAAGTTCTACTCTCGTCCATCTATCCCCGAGATTCCCGCTTTACTAACTTAACGATGCTTCTTTCTGGCGCGGAGTACTTACTGAAAACAACGAACATTTGCTAATCCCGCTGAAATTATTTCGACTGAAAATTTCGCGATCTCTCGTGCATCTTGATATTTCTCCGAGATCGGTCCTCGACGTCCTCGTTCGCGCGAGAACGACGGAAGAGAGGCGGAGAGAGAAAAAGAATACACAGATAAACCGAGAGAAAGATTCACTCAAAAACAAAAAAAGAGAATGAAATCGTCGATGACCATTTGCTTGTAAGATTCGGCGGAAAGAAAGAAAAAAAAGAAAGAAAAGAAAAGAAAATAAGCTAGACTAATAATTCCTAATGGCGTTAGGTACGCGTCGCGCGTGTACATTCTCTTCTTTCATTATTTGCATATAGGTTGACTACGACTGCCTTTAGAAATCTCGGTGCATTCGAGCATCATCCGTTTTTCTTTTTCTGTTTATCATTCTCACTATGGGTTTGGACGTACAGTAGTGACGACTGTGCCTGCCACCTTGCTATGCTCGCACTTGGAGGATCAGCGCCCACCACCCTCCGGCATAGTTTGATCTCCAAGCCACTCGAAACGAAGGCACGATCAGTGATCGAAACCGATAGCATTGTCTGACAGTGATATCGCATTTCGTTTCTTCGTATATGCGAAAATCTGCGTTATTCGCAACGGCAGAAAAGCGATTGGCGAAGAATATAGAATGTAGACGAACTATCAAGGAAAACAGTGAATAATTTTTACAATTTGAAAATTTAATTAATTTAATTAATTTACTTTATGTAAATTCAACTTCTACTTCATTCTTGCGAAAATGATGAACACATGCATTTTTATTTTACATGAAAATAATCGAGCATTGTTAAAGTATGTGTCTAATTATTATTACTTATCTTATATTACTAGTTCGTTCAATATCTTAGATAAAATTATACTGCTATAAGTTTTATTGTGAATATTATTATATTATACAAAGAATCTTTCTTGATTTTTTTGTATTAAAAAAATAAGGCTATCACTAGTTTGGACAAAATATCGATATTTTAATGATTTATAAGAAATTAACAAAAGCGTCGATATATCCGGCGCACTTTTATCTAACGGCAAGAACTGATCTCGTCAAAATAATCCCGGTTTCGATCCCTGAGCATCCATGAAATTTACTCGATAATTACGATTACAATTAACGGAAACAGTCAATGGTCTTATGTTATGTCTGACGTTGTGTCCATCGATGTTGTGCGGAGCGTTGGGGACGCGTGATCCTCCAAGAACGAATATGCCCCCATACGCAATCCCTTAGAGACTGATAAATATATATATCTATATATATCTACATACCGAATGCATATAAATGGATATATAGCTTGTTACACGGCGCGGAGGACCGTAGCTCATGTCGCACGTGCCGCGTTACATTCGTTACTCGGCCGGCCCAACGGGTGGTGTAACAAGCTATATACACACATGCGAACGTGTCGCATATATCTCTTATATACATTATATATATATATTATCTACGTACCTATATACATCGACCTCATTATATTCAGCACTACACGAATCGCTTAAAATATTCAGCTTCAGAACATTTCAACTTTCTCTCGCCGAGAGTCCAGCCTCCCTGGCCTCGTACATCCATTTCTCTCGATCCCTCAATTCCGTCCATGAAAAGTTCATATGATACGTCTATTATTATATTACATATTACATATCTCACGCCTACTACGTATCTATATAACATGACTGCATGCCTTTTACTCTCTCACGAGATAATTTTCCTACAAATTTTCCTCCCTCTCCCCCCTCCCCGTCCCAACCCTCATCCATTCGTTTCGGGACGGAGTATTATGTCTTCTTCTTTTTTTTTTCATCTTCTTTTTCTCCCTTTTTTCTGGTCTCTGAAAATCCTGAAAGTCAGTGCCGAGAAGAATGTTCCCGCCTCGCTGCCATCGCCACCACCGCGAATGCTGATTTTCGCGAGCACAATGCATCGTCGACGCACTGCGCGTGTTCCGCTGCCCCCGCCATCCAACCTCGCAACCCTCTCCACTCTCCCCCTTACCCGTTCCGCCACCCCTTTGCCTACGCGGCATTGTTCTATTTGTAAAATCAATTTGTATCGCTCCTCGATTCAGCCAGAGGCATTAGCTTCCCTTGTACGTGGCAACGCGGCCGTCGAATGTCGGCCGAATGGAGTTGCGGATTGTATTGGCAGCGAAGTGAGAATATTGGATCGCATTGAACCGTTGACCGCGGAAGCTGATTTAACAGGCGAAATCGATTGCTCATGTCCGCGCTCGCGTAAAGACACTGGTCGTGCATCGACCGAGTAGTACGATCGCATTACTCGTTAATTAGGCGGGCACTAAGTGGGTATTAACAGTGCCGCCGTTGTTCGCGGTGAGATCGCAGAAAATTGAATCGCGATATAATTCGACCGTATAGCTTCGGAATCAATCTTATGAAAGTGTAAAGTGTATTAATGATTGTAAAAATAATTAAATTGAAAATTGTTGGAGCATGGCATTTATTTCAAAATTAAAGATTAATGTATAATTCTATGATAGTATTTGTGGTTAGATATTTTTTTGAAATGTATTTCCAATATATTTAAGTTACGGACAATATTTCGAACGGAACGCCGTGAAAATTCACGATTTTTTTTTTTACAAAATTTTACCTATCTTCGCTTCAACGCGCGCATCGATCAAAATTGCATTCCGATAGTAGATAGATGTAAATTGTGAGAATGCTTCGTTTTAAATCAGCATTGCGCGGATTAATGGGTCGACGAAACGATCCCACTTCGGTGGACCTCGATATATCTGTAATTTGTAACAGTCGAGTTGCGGTGATGCGAGGCCAAGTTGTTACCGAACAAGGACTCGGAATAGTAGGCATCAGAGTGTCCGTGGACAGGGACTCGCGCTTTGGATTCACCTTGACTAGAACAGACGGATGGTAAGGATCAATAGTCCACTTATTCTATATTATCCAGCTTCACATCGAATTCGATTATTATACATTGTTAAATTCATATTAAATTATATCCAATTTGAGTTATTTTTAATCATTTCTATATTTTTTTCACTGTTTTAACTCAATAATCAATGTCATTAATTTTACTAAAACAATGAAGTCAAACAATTTAACTAAAAAAATGTATTAAATTTGATACAAATTATTATTTACTTAGTGCTTTTGCGTTAATAGATGTTGTTTACTTTAAAACTAAGTAATTTAATCACAGAATGGATTGATTTACATTTTCATACACATAAAAGGTATAAATAATAAAATGTTATTTAACTCAAGGGATTAGGTTATCATTCTCTCTAACAATGTATGTTAAAATTATTAGTTTTTCTAAATTAAAATGGTAAAATTTATTTTAAAGATGAAATAATGAAATACTTAGAGACGCTAATAGCAAATTTATTTTGCAAACCTTTATCCAAAATATTATCATTAAAGTCTTAAATATCATTATGTCTAATAATGATTTTTAAGATTTGGCACTGATGTGCTAAAAAGAAAATAAAGGTCGATTATCATAGTGCGTATCCAAATATTAAGCCAATTAAAAGACTCTATTTTTAGATAGATTTATTTTTTAGCCTAAAAAGTCAGACGAAATACCTGAATTGGAATAATTTCATGAATGCATATAAATGATACAAATGATTTTAAACGTGCATTCTGGTTTGTCCCTAATAGATATGGTAATGGATAGTAATTCATATTAATATTTCACTACTACACACGTAGAGGCAATTATGCTGTTCGTATTTTAAGCCGATGTAGTTATTACTGTGGCATAATATTATTTTGAAAGAGGGATTTGCACGATTAATGACAGACATCCATAACGTAAATGACGGATACCACGGGCATAATCCAGATTATTATATATGCATTACCATTGCGCTCTGAGAACATTTAAGAGCCGTAATATCTCTAATCTGTATCTGCTAATTGTTGATTATTCTTGAGTGTTGTGTGCGAAATAAGTGGGTCGGTGCTATCGCGGATAATATATTACCGGCGATAGAAAGGGATTCATGGAAAGAGTTACGCCCGTTGTTACATCCGTGTTACATCCATTTACAGTTATAACAGCGGTCAACACACACACACACACACACACACACACACACACACATATATACGCATAGCCGTCATCATCGTTGTATTAGCATTTGCACATACGATGAGCACGACATGTAGGGTCGGGGCTGGATGTCCTGCGCGATAGTATCAAGGCTGCATTGTAATGAAAGGGGAAGGGGTAGGGGGATGTAGTCGGGAACGGCTACATCAGGCGAGGGTATACAGCAATCCTGGCGAGAATAATTCTGAAACAGGAAAGCGGAGGAGTTGGGATACTAGACCGCATCAAAGCCCGAGCTAATGATGTCGAAAGCTTACTAATTACTCCGTGCAAACCTACGGTACCATGGCTCGGTCCATGGCCCTCGGTGCATCGCGGATCGTCGAAATGCATTCGCATATATTGACCGAATCTACTCGTTACGAAACTTTGTTTCACCGGCATTCTCTTTCGATTTAATTCATATTAATCCAACGACCGGAACACCGCACCTACTCGTAATTAATGTTCATAAATGCAAAATAACAAGCAAGCACGTATTATTCCATTCATTGACGCGCCTTCAATTATAATATCGTTACAGCGCATTATATAATAACTTAGATGAATTTTTCGGCGCGTAATAATTTTATCGTGTATTAACGTAATCTGATTTCACATTTTGCGAATTTTTGCATAATCAAATTTTTAATACGCGAAATGTTGCAGAAAAGTAAAATACAGAAATTATTTTAGCATAAAAGAAAACTAGTCTCGTAGAATATTTTATTTTGTCTCAGAAAAATTTGCCTCTATAAACGTGTATTATACAAATGTGATGAAAATTATTTTCTAAATAGTTCAATGGGAACTTTAAATCTAACTATAAATAAAATTCAATAAGTACAGTGCTTTTATAAATCCTGTTAAAAATATGTTCTGCAGTTTTTGTTTCCACGCTCCAACTTTCAGAGAAGCCAGTAATTTTATATGAGAAGGGATATTACTTCATTAAATTCCATAGCGTACTTTTGAACCTAGGTACAAACTTAAATAACGAACAGACTAAAAGGAAGAAATTACAAAGCACGTATAAATAAAAATCTACTTCATTCATTGTTCACGTCAATAAATAGGACTATAATCATAATAATCCTTCAAACAAGTTTTAAAATTACACATCTCGTTAATACTTTGAAAAAGGCTATTATTGTTCTTTTAGTAATTATTTATATCTCATTGAAAGTTTCATACACAACTTTGTTTCTGAAAAACAAAATAAAAAGATGTATCATTTTTAATAGAAATATTTTCATTATTTGCTGCAAGATAAATTTTTTGTACAAGAAAATGTTTTAAAATTTTGCCAATTAGTAATACATTTAGAAAATTAATCAAATATGACGAAGAAACTTTCAAGATACTTTGCGTTCCAATTCTAAGGTCTCGTCAGACATTCATTCCCGGATAAAGTGAGCGCACTATCTTGATCGACCTACGTCGAGATTCTTACGTAATACCGGCAATGGAGTTCGAAATGCATTACGTACTTTGATCAGGTTCGACGTCCTGGTCAATGGTGGAGGTGCCGTGACGCTTCAATTCCAGCGCAGCCCCTTCAAACCCCTTACAAGGACCGTCTTCGTACCCTGGAATCAGATCGTGGTCCTACCACCCGTTGTGATGATTCTTAGCAAGGAAGGCGAATCGTATAAATCTAACCAGCCGCCGAGCCCGGCAGTTGGTAAGCATCGAGCTTCGGATATGTATTACGGATTTTTTTTCCTTTTTTATTTTTTTTTCTATGTTTTTTTTTTGGTCGGTCGACTTGGTACACATATATCTCATCGTGTTACGTGTCGGATCGCGTTACCCATTAACGTCACAAACGTTTCGATAAACGCACGTACGTGCTCGATCACCTGAAACCAATCCCGGCGCGCAGGGAAAAGAAGAGATAACAAAAGTAGCGAATGCATTTTTTTATTATTTGCAAAAGTTCTATTAAAAAAAATTAGTATAAGTAATTTATTACTGTTTTTCACGACCATGTCGGATCGGATCGCGCGTTTACACGTGCGATCTTCATAGGACCCTCGTTTTCAGAGTTGTTCAACGTGTGTGCCGTCTTTGTTCCGTCCTTGAGTGTTATACATTTTTGAGTTTCTTATTATTTACGGAGTACAATATAATAGGCTTCCCAGGGATTTCGATGGGACTCTTTAGCGAACACGGTCCGTGCTTGGAACACGATCACGAGACGTTGCGACCAATTATTGTTAGCACATGGATGCCTGAGAAAGTTGGCGGTTTGCCTGGGAAGAGCTTGGTCTTTGCTGAAAGTCAAGTAAGTTTCTTCGTAAACGATTTAATATCATTATAATACGCTCGTTGTTTTAATCAAAATACAATCTTGACTTTGCCGTCATAGTTAAGATGAAATTTTTAAATGACATAATTATTATACTTGTGTCCGAGATGTAATCAGTCAAAATACAGTCTTGCCTTCGTCCTTATAGTTAGATGCAATTTTTTAATGACAAATTATTATATCTTGATGACCGAAATATTGATCTGAGTGGATAGAAAGAGACATGGGATTTTAAAATAAAAGTTAAATAATAAATTTTATACGATAAATAACGAACTTCATTATATGTTACGTGAGACAGAGATGCTTTCGAAGGGGAGCATCAAAGGACACTGCACGAATGTAACAATATTTACGATGGAGATTACAGCACTATGTGACCGCATTAACGCAACGTTAAACATCGCTTGCAGATCGTGCAGGAAAGCATCGCTATTCCAGGCTCCAATCTCCACTTGATGTATCAAAGCAGTCAGGCTGCGGGCTATCTCTCTACCGTGAGGATGCAACTGACCGGGCCGTTCATTCCAAAATCGCTGACGCACGTACACGTGCACGTAGAGATCGAGGGCTCGCTTCACACGAAAACGTACGAGGCTGACCCGAATCTGACGCACACGTTTGCCTGGAACAAGAGAAACGTTTACAAGCAGAAGGTGTACGGCGTGGCGCAGGCGAGGATCTCGATCGGCTATCAACATTCCACTTGTCCGTCGGTGATATGGGAGACGCAGACGGCCACTTTGCAGGGATTCGACGTCGATATCTCCGATATCGGTGGATGGGGACTCGACATCCATCACCATTACAACTTCCACGAAGGGATCCTGCAGAAAGGCGATGGCTCTACTCTACATTTCAAACAGTATCCGCGCACTGTGAAAGTGGTAATGGGCACTGGTCTCCAAAGAAGTTTGGTATGTCAGAATTGCGACGGTCTCGCTAAGGATGCTAGACTCCTGACGCCAGTGGCACTCGCCAGTGGACCTGATGGTAGCATATATGTCGGAGATTTCAATCTCGTGCGCAGAATCACGCCTGAAGGAAAGGTTTACACCGTTTTGATTTTGAGGTAAACTTTTTTTTACAAGATTTGCGAGTCGAAAATTCAATGATCACATCTAATCTAAACACATCTTTATGCCATCTTTTGCAGTGCGACTCAAGTGGCATATCAGTATTATCTGTGCATCTCGCCAGCTGATGGACATTTGTATATCAGCGATCCCGAGAAACATCAAATATTGAAAGCACTCTCGTTGGAACAAGTCCAAGATCCAAGCATTAATATCGAGCCCGTTGTTGGAAGTGGCGAAAGGTGTATTCCAGGTGACGAGGGCCACTGCGGCGATGAAGGTCCGGCCATCCATGCAAAATTGGCTCATCCTAAAGGTGAAGGACAACTTAAAATACATCTGTCATTTTCTTTGAAAGACACCTGCGCTATTAGAATAACATTGAATAATTTAAAAGATACTTTTATAAAGACGAACATATACATACCGGAACATTTGAGAATTAATATTTTATGAACGAATAATCCCATTTGGATTTTCACTCTCTTTTATTTTCAGAGTGTAGTCTATAGGGAAATTTAAGCTATAATTTATTTGAATTTCAGATCAAAAATAAAAAATTAAAAATAGTGAATCTAATATAATGAACAGAATTTAAAGAAATAATATGCTTATTGCATAAATTCTTTTAAGAAATTTGTAATTGCAAAGAATAACATCAAGTTTCTAGTTTCGTTTTATTTGAAGTTCATTAGTGCTATGCACAGTTAGTATGATTTCCAATCTGACTTCCAAATCTTGATTACGAGTCTTGTGACATTAGACTTCCTTTGTTGCAGATTATTATTATTCTTTTAGAATTTGACATTTTTAAACTAACTCAGATAACAAGAATTTTTTAAAATCGAGTTTCATGATAATCAGATTATTCTTTTTTATCTAATTTTAGGCTAGAATTAAATTTAGCTATTTTGATAACTCTTAGATAATAAGATCTTCTTTAATTTTTTTTAATTAGAAAACTCACGTTTTCAAAGGATTGAAGGATTACTTGTAAAAAATAATTTAAAAAATGTGTTTCTTGTGATTTACAGGAATTGCAATTGCGGCCGATAAAACGATGTACATTGCCGATGGAACGAATATTCGTGCTGTCGATCCTCGAGGAATCATACATACTCTCGTAGGACATCATGGTCATCATAATCATTGGTCGCCCGCTCCCTGCATCGGAGCCATTCCCGCACATCAAGCTCAGTTACAATGGCCCACCGGATTAACCCTAAGCCCATTGGATGGATCCCTGCATTTCATCGATGACAGGCTAGTCTTGAAACTCACCAGCGATCTGAAGGTGCGTGTAGTCGCTGGTACGCCTCTTCACTGTACCAGCAATGCAAATAACAACAATGGCAACGATGAACTTCCGAAACTAAACTCCTCGTTGACGACGAACTTGAAAAAATCAGACGAGGTCCTCGGATCGGTGTTGGCTGTCGGTTTCAGTCCAACCGGTGAGCTGTACATAGCGGATCGTGATTCTCATCGAGTGAATTCTATTAGAATCGTCGATTCCTCTGGCAAGATGTCACACTTCGCGGGTCAACAGCAGGAAAGACTGCGTGGTCAATGCGAATGCAACAATACTACACCCAGCACCAAGGATTTGGACACGTGCACCTGTACGGATGATACTAGCAGCACCGAAACGCTCCTCTCTTCAAACGCCAAGTTTACTGCAATATCTGCTCTAGCGGTTTCACCAGACGGTGTCTTGCACGTAGCTGATCAGGGCAGCCTTCATATCCTGGCTCTCCAGCCGTATCTTCCGAACCATGATGAGAACGGAGAGTTCCGCATCCCATTCCCACCTTCGAATGAGATCTACGTGTTCAATCGCTACGGTCAACACATTTCCACGAAGGACTTGACATCTGGAAAGACCCGCTACTCCTTCCTGTATAGCAAGAACACGAGTTTCGGCAAGTTGTCCACGGTGACGGATAGCGCGGGCAATAAGATTCAATTCCTACGAGATTACAGTAGCGTCGTTAGCTCTATTGAGAACACTCAGGATCATAAATCCGAATTGAAAATCTCCGCGGTTGGATTCCTGGAGAAATTGTCCGAACGTGGCAGGGCGGAGATCGCGCTTGGTTATGACGGTTCAACCGGCTTGCTCACCAGTCGATCAGGAGTAAGTTAGATATTTTTATTGCTCATTTTTATAAATAAAGAATAGATGTTTTTGTCCATTTTGTCCATTGATTAAATATTTATTTTTTCTTCTTTATTTAATCATATATAAAAAATGTAATAGACTTTTTATAAATAAATATTAAATTATATATTTTTTTTATTGATGAAACGCAATGTGTTGTTAAAATTTCAGGGAGATGAAACATACATATACAATTACGACAGTCTAGGACGTGTCACCGATGTAATACTGCCGACGGGCGAGAAATTGAAATTATTATCAGACTTATCTGACAACGAAGGTCTATTGGTTAAAGTGTCTGCTCCCTTGCAAGCTTTATCTAAAGGTGATAAACAGCGAATCGTAGAATTTGAAATGAAAAACGAGAAGTCGAAAATGTTGACAGTCACTGATGGTATGTACTTTCTCTAATTTAATTAATTTTTGTTTAATCTATTTTCCTCGATATACAAATATATTCTAATTTTTTTGCAAATATGATTAACTGCATGAATATTATTATAATATCTCGTTTCTTATTTACAGGCACCAAACTCATGAAAGCGATTGCATTTACAAATAGCAGCCTGGAAGTGCTTCTGCCTGGTGGTGGTAGAGTACTTAGCGCGGCGACAACAAAACATCCACTATTGAAGCCGGCTTTGCCGGTAGAAGCAGAGATGCTACCTATGTGGAGCTATCAATTGATGTCATTAGGCGAATTAACAAACACTATGACGACGACATACAACTTGGTCGGAGAAGTTAGCCACCCTCAACAAACGCTTAACAGAGAGATCTGGGTGAACGACACGCGAGTGATAAGCGTCGAATTCGAACAGGCATTCAGCCGTGAGACGTTTTATGACAAGGCGGGAACTCCTCTATTGACGGTGACCTTCGACCTGGCCGGTTTACCCTTGCTCTGGCAACCGTACGAGCAGGGTCATAATCTCAGCATTACTTACGATCGATTTAACAGGATCGACAGTTGGAAATGGGGTGCTTCCGATGAATCATATGCTTACGACCGACACGGTCAACTGGCGGAAATCACCAATAGTAAGGATGGCACAAAACGATATACCTACAATGACTTCAATATGCTGTCGAAGATCACGCTTGCCAGCAACAGACAGTTCTCATTGCAATATGATGATGACGGTGGATTACGACATATCATTTTACCGTCTGAAACCAAACATTCCTTCTCCTGTCAGGCTTCTCTCGGCTTTCTCAGGGTGACATACACTCCACCTGGCAGCACTAGAGCCTATCTGCAGCACTACAGTCACGAGGGGAACCTGCTGCAGACTGTATTTCCAGGAGACGGAGCTCGCATTGTCTACAGATATCACACTTCGGGACAATTGGCAGAGGTCGTTCACGGCGACGGCAAAAGCGAGATCAGATACACAGAGAGTGGACTACCTTCCGAAGTTATACACTCCGAGAGGGACGTGGAGTACAAATGGGATTATCAATATAGTGCAGGACTTCTGGTAGAGGAGCGAATAGATTTCGGCGCCAAGACTGGTCTAAGCAACGCTAAATTTACGTTCGAATATGATTCGAATTTCCGCCTGATCGCGGTACAGGGTAGAATAGGCGGTCAGACGCTGCCACCACACACCATGGCTTACAGTCCGAGGTCGGGTACGCTAGAGCAAATCGGTCAATTTAAAGTGACAAGACCGCAGTCGAACGAGACGACTGTGTTTGACGGTACCGCATTATTCTCGCGCACTACAGATGACCGATTCCTAGAAACTCAAGTCACAGTGACGATCCATCGAATGGAAGTGTTCAGGATGGAATTCACGCACGATTCACGCGGTCGCATCAATCAGACGAGAACGTACACGCGTAACGTCGCCGTTAATACGTATACCAACGTAAAGAATTACACATGGGATTGCGATGGTCAGTTAACCGGTGTAGAAGCGCAGGAACCATGGGGTTTCAAGTACGACGCCAACGGTAATATGTTGTCGCTCACATATCGAGGTAACACGATCCCAATGGAGTACAACGCTATGGACCGAATAGTCAAGTTCGGCGAAGGTCTCTACAAGTACGACAACCGAGGTCTAGTAGTGCAGAATGCGAGAGAGGAGAGATTCAATTACAACGCCAAGGGTCTCCTTGTGCGTGCCACCAAACGCGGCCGTTTCGACGTGCGATACTATTACGATCACCTGGATCGCCTAGCCACAAGGAAAGATAATTACGGCAATGTCACGCAGTTCTTCTACAACAATCAGAAACGACCGCACGAAGTGAGCCAAATATACAGCCCGCGCGATGGTAAACTGATGTCGCTGGTTTACGATGACAGAGGACATCTTATTTACGCACAAGTATATCGACACAAATATTACATTGCCACTGATCAGTGTGGAACACCCATTATGATCTTCAATCAATATGGCGAAGGCATCAGAGAAATTATGCGATCACCTTATGGTCACATCGTTTACGATTCGAATCCATATCTTTACTTGCCGGTAGACTTCTGCGGAGGACTTTTGGATCAGGTAAATAAGAATTTAATTTCACTTAATAATTAACAAAATAAAAAGAATTCAGTGACATAGAATAATAAAATTTTCGGAATTGAACGCAATGATATTCGAAAAGTTCTTTGCTATATTTCATATTTTAATAGTATGATCTATTTATAGGTCACCTCCCTCGTTCACATGCCAAATGGTAAGGTTTACGACCCGCTAATAGGCCAGTGGATGTCACCGCTCTGGGAAAACGTTTTGGATCGCGTAGACAAACCAACGCACCTACATCTTTATAGATTTAACGGTAACGATCCAATTGATGTCAGACACACGGATAGACCAAGTCAACCAACTGGTAAGTTTTACAATATTATCGATGAATTAATTTACGTTCTATCCGATTTCAATCAATATACATTCGGCGTATTTTTATCTTGCAGATCACATATCATGGCTGTCGCATCTTGGATATGACCTGAAGAGTTTAGCACCGCAGCTATTCCCGGATGAGTTACCGGAAAGCCTCGTTCCGCGAGCACTCGGTCCGGGAACTTCTATATTCGGTAAAAAGAAAAGAACGCGCAATCTGGGCGTCCAGTCCGGTTTCCTCGCGCACATCGCCCAACGGCATTCAGGCGACGCGGTGAGCCTGTCTGCGCCACCACGATCTGCCTTGAAGAAAGACACGAGCGAGCTGATACCCAGTCGTCTAGGTGCGGCGTCCGATCCGCCGTTCGGTAAAGGTATCCTAGTGTCGAGAACTGCTGATGGCCAAGCGGTGGTGTCCAGCGTACCCAGCGCTAACGCTATTTATGGAGACGTGTTCACATCCGTGTTCAACCGCTCGTACTTCTTGCCATTTACGTTTGTCGTGCACAGCGCACAGCAGGACGCCTTCTACTTCGTCAAAGAGGAAACCTGGCGTGCCAGCGAGGATCGTGGTCAACTGAAACGATTAGGAGGTCAAGTAAACACTACGTTCCACGAGAACGAGAATGGTAGTGGCAGTAGTTCGTTAATCGATGTGAAGATACATGGTGCTAGCTATGTGGTGAACTTGCGTTACGGCACCACGGCGGAGAAGGAAAAGCAGAGACTACTGCATCACGCTAAGGCGACCGCTATTAGGAAGGCATGGCATCGAGAACGTGAAGCCCTTAAAACGAACACTCCCACATCCGTCGAGTGGATGGTCGCCGAGCAGGATGAGATACTGAAAGTCGGCCTCGCATCTAATTATGAGGGCGAGTATGAGGACCCTTACAACATTAGGTTCGTGAAGAAGGCCGTCGACCAGTCGAGCAAGAAACGACGCAGGAGGAGAGGCGCGCCGTCCTGTAAGCTCTGGTGGTTAGATAAAATGTGCTAGAGCAATTTGAGAGTCAGTCGTATCGTCCCCTCGCACGGGGACATTGTCCAGTATCGAAGCCGCGGGACTTTCGAGTGAGCGACACCGACAGGTAAAGAGGTAGATTGAAAAACCGGAAACGTGAAAGTCGACGGAAGGAGATAAAAAAATGCCGCTGTAGCGCAGCGTCCGTATATATATGCATGCGCATATATATATAAACGTACTGAAAACTATCAAAAAGTTTTATACCAAAGTCTATTTGTGTATTTCAAAGATGCCAAAAACACTATAACGTTATATTATATATAATAAATATATATACCACGAGGTATAGGGTACGTAGGGTGTAAGAGCGTTAAGCGCACGCGGAGAAACGTGGGTTTCACCGAGTATTCGCTCCACGGACCAGCTGCGCGACCGATCCGCGATTGGCAAATCCGCGAAAGCCTTATAAGCGTCGTCGGGAAAGGAGAGAATGAGAATCGAGAGTGTGCCGGATTTCGGACCACGCGAGCTTGACATTGCGAAATTTCCTCTGGGAGTTCGACGCGACGTGAACGCAGCTAATAAATCAGCTTGCAGGTTTGAATTAAATTCCAGGATGTGAAGTTTACTGATTACGTTCGTACGAGGCAAGGCCGGCAAGCTCGTGGAGCTTGCGCTCGAGGCCTAAAGTAAATGATAGACCGTGGTGCCGCGCGTGCGATTCGTGCACGATACACCGCATCGATACAAGGTAATTATAGTTATAACGCGAAGAGTGAGGAGAAAGAAGAAAGAAGAAGAGGCCATTCATAGTTGAGAATGACGAAAAAGAGAGAGAGTGAGAGAAACTAGTCAATACATAGCTTTACATTGACATAGCAGCCTTCTTCGGCGTAGGATAAATGCGAGGATAGTGAGAATCGGGAGGAGCGATGCCGTTGACGACGATGTTGACAACAATGTTGACGAGCTACGTGTGTGCGCTGCCCACGATATTTTAACTCGTCGTACTTAGAAAAAAAAGCAACGGCGGGTGTGATGGAAGTATGGTATTCGTGCGATGACGGATACGATGCAGAAAGCGGCGGCGAGCGCGAAAATAAATCTCAACCATGAATGGCCTTGGCGAGAAGTGACAGAGGATTGAGGAAGAGAAATCGGAGAAGAGACGATCCTCACAATATCCTTGAAGAAGGACTAGGAGCCAACGATCGTGCGGACTCGATCGTGCGGTCTCGAGCTTGAATTCCGTTCGCGGCTTTAGACAATTAAGGACGAGACGAATTTGTATTATAAAGTGGTGCTTTTCTTGTATGGCGAGAGAATGAAGAGAGTAAAAGAGAGGCGGAATGAGAGGATCAGCGATGATCGAGCGAGGATGAGCGTGCATGAGGTTGTCGAATACCAATAGCGAGACTAAACGTATTTTTAACATGTGGATGTGTCCTATCCGTAGCGTAAGCGTTCCCGATCGTCGCCGATCGGTGATCTAATATCGCATTGTCGTGCGCGCGAGTGTGCGGGAAGATAGTCGCTCGGGATCGACGGTAGGTATCCTTCGATGATCGCGAAGGGAAATGCGAGCCGTGCGTGCGAGCCGATGTCTGCATATAAACCGGAAACGGAGGAAATTTGCAAGAGAGGGATAAACTCATTATCGGTAAAAATAATACGTATACAATATCGCATATTTGTGCTTGCTGGATATGAACGTAACGGACATTAACTATGTTTCCTTACTGAAAATACTAAGTATGTGTATCCAAAATTACTGCCCGTCAAGTAACGATCGTTTCGCCCGTGTATATGTGTATGTGTGTGTGTGTGTGTGTGTGTGCGTGTGCGTATGTGTGTGTGTGCGTGCGCCGATCGCCTGCGCACAAAAACCCATATACGTGCATCGAACCATCCTTAGCGTCGAAAATTCCTCTCATTATCATCCCATCGATCCTCCTCCTTCTCCCATTCCTCACATTTCCTTTCATCTTCCAAATTTCATGAAGATTCCGAATCTGTCGATTTGTCGCACGTATTGTTTGTTCGCGTCTCCACGAACGTACTCGCCATTAATATTTTGCAACGCGGCTTTAGAGACGGTGCCGTTTATGGATAGTTAGTGGCACAACGACATTGCTGTCTGAATAGATGAAGAATAAAAATGTTATCTATATGCTGAGTGTATAAAAAAAAATATATATATATATATATATATATATATAGAGCGAGAGAGAGAGAGAGAGAGAGAGAGAGAGAGATTTAGGAAAGCTTCGTAATGTATTTTTAACTCGAGCGAGTGTTTAGACTTATAACACCCAACAACGCAAAATCGTGAAAGACTTCCGAGAGATAGTCAAACGATGTGTGAAAAATTAGGTCGTCTTTACGGTTTCTTTTACGGTGTCGTGTTGCCTGGGCAATTTTAAACCGCGGTCCAAGACGAGCTCCTCCTGTCGGAGGCACACGCGCTCGCACGTGCCAACGAGGCCGCAAGGGCGATCCTTTTTGTACATTTCAGGTCCTCGTTTGCACGCGCGAAACAACACGCGAAAACGGAACTCACTAAAATCGCGCCGTGAATATCTTATTCCTGCGCGTTGCTCATTGCGTTTCTCTGGCAGACGGCCGCGCGAACGGGCTCGATCGTCGAGCCGCATTCCTCCCTCGCTTATCTAAGCATAACTGACACGATTCTATTTCGCTTTGTTTTAACTTCACTTTTAGAAAACTCACTCATATATGATAATAGCGAAAATTTTAAAATCTATTAATCTCGATTAATTTGCTGTGATTGTATTTTTAAATCGATTTCTTAGAAACAATCGCTTTAAAATCGTGTTTAAATTCAATAATACAATCCTCGGCTGTATTGAATACTATCCAATTATTGTAACTGTAACAATGAGACAGCTACCTCTTTCAGCAGTGGTGATAATTTCGTGAGAATATATAATATTTGAGGGTAATTTCCGTTAATCTTCCGAGGGCTTCTGCTTTCTCTAGATAAGCGAAATAGGAGTGCTTCGACATTCGTGCACATCTAAACACTCATCGTTTCCCCTTGGCCAGCCAACCCCTCACACTTGCTCCTCCCACTGCCCTTCACACTGCCCTCACACTCTTGATCTTTAACCGCATTATCCGCTGTTGGATCCGGCAACAGTGCGTTCAAGAAGAATCAACTATTTTTTAAATATCACGTGTCAAATTAATGAGCGGGCCAGGTAGCCGCGATATACATGTCGCACGGGCGGGGACCCCCAAAAACTCGACTCGAGGCCCGACCCCGTCTTACGCGATTATAATATTAGAAAAAAAATTCATTCTCTAACTTCCGTGAAGTTTCATCTCTCGTTTTTGCGAACTCGTTCCAGATTCGTTCATCCTTCGCGATCGCCCGCGGGGGGTCGTGACAACGTACTTCTCTAAATAAATAAATAAATAAAAAGAAACGAAGTAGAACGCGCGAAGAAATAACGATTATGTGAAATAAATAAATAAATAAATATAATATATATATAAATATATTGAGATGAAATATAAATATATATATGTACACACGAGAGGAGCTAGAGTGGCCAATTATAGCAGTAACCGTCGATCCACCAATTTGCGGCGCGATTGGTTCTCGAGCGCGACTCTACGCCGAAAAAAAAGGGAGGGGGGGGGGGGGGGAAAAAAAAAACGAAATTCCAGAAAAAACGTGAAACGGGAAGTTGAGGATGCGAGAGTGATAAATGTAGAGCGAGAACGAAGGAAGGAAAGAAAGAGAGCGTGAAAATGAGAGATACTGAAGATTAAGCGAGCGCGAAAAGCGAACGGAAGAGTCAGTCACGCTAAAGCTACTACGACCACTACCTTAGATAGATTAACGCTACTTTGCCGCTGATCTAATTGTTTACTGTCACGTGTTGCTGTAAACCTAAACCTAACGATACGATATTATATATATTTTATTTATATAACCTAATCAACTGTATTTATTGTAAATAGTCACGATGTTTGCTATGATATAATATATCTGTAATTGGATGGGAACCTGCCTGAAACTGCGCCCGAAGCCCTCTGTCCTCCCCGCCCCCATTTCCACGGCTATAGAATCCGTACACATCTCATACACGAGTCAGGACACACACACACACACACACACACACACACACACACACACACACACACACACACACACACACACACACAACGCGTAACATGGACACAGCATACACACGCACACACGCTATACATAAACGCGGTGTCGACTGCCGCAGCCGTTTAGCGATAATTTAGACGAGAAGATTAATGGAGAGAAAAAGACAGGTGCATCGCGCGCGTTAAATTATCACTACGTCAATATTTCGTATCGCATCGACAGGCAATCGATTTCACGTAAGACGCTCTATTTTATCGTAGGGAAAAGAAGAAAAAAGGAAGAACTCATCCTCCCCGCCATTCGATCAGACTTCCCTCCCTCAACCATTTGAACCTTTCCGTAAACGAGAACATTACGATGGTCACGAGCAATTTTTATAAATGTATTTTTTCGCCTCCCCCTTCTCCCCCGCGTGTTGAAAACACATCCTGATTCGATGATCATCGTAGAAACGCCGGAAGTGAGTAATTTACGGACTTTTCCACTTGAACCACTGCCACACGGCAGACGGCGATCCAACCAGCATGTCCAATAAACTTACAATATTACTATCTTAAGTACAATATATTAAGTGTTTTCAGAAAATATATGATCTATATATGATAATAAAAAACGGGAAAACGTTTCACCGGACTTGTCATTCACTTCTAAGTCACGTTCACCCTCGATGTCTTCATGAATATGTCGCTTCGTCTAGTATTAATTGACTCCTCTTCATTTTTCGTAAACCAAACGCTAAAATTACGCTGATTAACTGAAATAGAATAGTGAATAGTTTTTCTTTTTCTTATTTATTAAATGAGAAGGAAAGCAAATATATCACGAAAATAAGAAAGTAATAAATTTCGATTTACCAAAATTGGAAATATGACAAGCGTTGAAATAGAAGCAATCTGAATGTACGATTTTAATAGCATATAAGCTCCTTTTAAGCATCCAGATTTATAAGATACATTCTCTGTCATGTGCAGGCACTGAAAATTGCGCAAACAAATCAGGTATTTCATTATTAAAATATAAATTAAAACAATTCTTTAATATCGTATAACTTTCAAACAGGTATTTCATGTTCGAATTTTACGTCAATTGCTACTTATTTCTAAATTGACGGCATTGGTAGTTGTATCTGTTTCAAATAAATTTGCTACTGATATTGGATATATATAATAATAATAATATATTTGTTTAGTAATTAAGTTGCTAATACGAATGAAATGAATTAATATATTCAGTAATCATAATTATACAATCATCGAGTAAATACGATAGTTTATTGATTTGTTTAACTATTTTCGCGCAAGTATATCGATTGTTTGGAAATTATATATCTACTGATGAAGTAGTTTATTCCAGGATGCAGTTGAGAGACCGGCTGAAAATTATGACAAACCGTCGTGACTTCTGAGAAACAGGAAAAAGAGAAAATCCCCGAGAAGAGTAAAGGGATCCGGATATTATTAGGCGCGACCGGATGTACGCTGCGCGTGAACGCAACTAACTCATTTCTCGGCATGAAAAAGAAAGTACGTGCTACTTGGCAGAAAATGGATCAAGACGTGACCGGCGCAATCTTCTATGACTAAGACCGGACGTAGCTTTTAATTTTAGAAAGCTATTTTAATATATTCTCTATAATTTTTTATTTAAAGTATTAGATGTTGGAATTAATTCGTAGCGTTTTACAAGTGATGGGAAGTACTTTCATTAATGTATTTTTTAATGCTCATGTGAAATAAATAACATTCTTTCATTAAAAACGCTACGAATTAATTCCAACACCTAATATAATTCCTAAAACAATTAAATGAGAAGAATAATCGACTATGATTTTAGATTTACTACATCTATTGTATTTCAGGACTAAGATCTTTATTTAATTTAATCAGGGTGAGAAAAGTTACTTTAAGTTATATATAAGTTACTTTTTAGATAATTTTATATGTGTTTGTTATAGAAATTGAGTACAAAAAATAATAGAAAATTAGAGCAAATGATAAAATATAGTATAAAAAATAAAATATCTGAATTTATTGTATTCAACTTTATAATAAAAAGTAACTTATAAATAAAAAAAACTTGTAAAATATAATAATTTTCCAAATCGTGAATTTAATATTCAATAATATATATAATAATCTGATTTTTCTTTCATATTATTAATTACAGATATTATTTAAAGACTTATTATTTATTTTCAAGTTTTTAGATTTTTAATTTTTATTTTTTAGACATTTATCTTTTCTAAGATTGATTTATTTTTTAAAGATTCTTTTTATTTCTTCAAATTTACCTGTTCAGGTGACACAGAACAGCAACTTTGTGGAATGCTTAATTGATGATCTAACCAGTCTTTGGGTGATTTAATTCCACAGCATTTTAACTGAAACGTATCATTGGTAGTAAAATATGCAAAGAATATACAATTGAAAAATATAATGCTGTATAAAGTTCTTACATATCTATGAGTATTATCCCATGCTTTCATAGCCCAATCTAAAGATTGATAATTTTCTATAGCGTTGTTCATGTCATCTCGAATCTTTTTCGTAATCATGTCGAAAAACGGAAAACTCATTGTCAGACATACAAATACAGCACAGAGAGCGATCGAATGGCACATTAAGTACTAAAAAATAAATACGCGGCATTAGAAGATAGACTATTCTCAAATTGCTTAATTTTCCAAGTAGGCTGATATAATACATATTTTAAATCAGAAATTGCGTTTTCAAAAGATTTCTTTTTTGCTTTATTAATTCAACTTACAAAAATCATGAAATAATCTTTTTTCTTTGTGATTCCTATAATTCCAATAAAAGCTACAAGAGACACAAACACTCCTAAAATTAATACAATAGTCATGAAAAGCTGTTGGCTAAGCAGTCTAGATGTAAAGTTTGCATCAGACAACATCCAAATAGCTGTTGTTATCGCCGTTACACCTGTGAGCTTAAATAAATTTTGAAATTAAATCATTCTTATATCCAAACCTATAAATTATATATGCTAAACTTCTCTATCCATTTAATAATAATTAATACTCACAAGAACTACGCTGTTAAGCAATAAGAAGGAGAGTTTAACCCATTTCTTCGGCAGCCATTTGCAAAATAGTTTAGCCGTAGCAGTACTGATATTTTTGGAACTCTTTTCTGTCGAAATGGTTTCACTTTCAGTAATTGATTCGTCATCGTCTGTATCTGTTTCAATCTCGTTCTTATTTTCGGCACGTCTCATTACTCTCGGTTAAAATTTTCGTCAGTTCATTAATTACGTATTCCAGTAAAACGCATCACCTACAGAACTGACTTATTATATCTTTTAAATTTGACATTTCGAGCCTAAATTATCATTTTATAACAACGTTAATAACAATCGGTAAGTTGAGCATTTTCTATAAACTTTTCTTTAAACAGGTTTGATGAAAATAATAAAAAATCTATAAAAACAAAAAAGGAAATTATACAGCTTAGGGGGTTCTCACCTCAAAAATCAATAAAATTAGGCATTCGACGCGTTTTTGCATGAAATGAAAGAATTTTTCGTCAATAATCGTCAACTTTAACGCTTATTGAGGTTAAGAAATCTGTCACAGACAAAATGAGGACATAATTCACTATAATTGTACTGTTTCACATAGGTTTTGATTTTCTACGCGAAGCGATTCACCCTCGACTCTTATCCCCCCCCCCCCTCTCCCTGAGGAAGACCCAATCGAAAAGGTTTGTCTGTCAATTTTTCTCAAGAATAAAGTATACGACATGTGTAGCCTGTATTGGCTCGAATTAAGTACATTTATCCTTAAAAATAAAAAATATTATATTTTTTTTATATCAAAAAAACATCATTTTCATTCGTTTTCTAAATATGAATTTACTTTTTGAGATATCTTCAAGACATCTAAAAGAAGTATTCAAGACATCAAAAGAAATTTTTAAGACATTTAAAAGATATCTTTAAGACATCTTAAAAACATTTCTTATATCTAAAGACATCTTTCTAAATATCTAAAAAATATCTTTTACATAAAGATGTTTTTTAGAATTCTACGAGATGTCTTTAAGATATTTCTAGATATCTTAAACTGTTGCATGTTTTAGGTTCCTAAAAGATATATATTAGATATATATTATTGGAATTCCCAATTATATTTCGGACAGAACGAAATTTGCAGAAAAGAGATTGGAACATACCTGGAACTCCAAATATTTGGGACATATCGAAATTTCCGTGTAACAAATATGACTTGAAAATCTGGAATTCCAAATATGCTTCGGACATAACGGGATTTGCAGATAAGAGTCAGTATGGAACATATCTGGATGGAACTCCATAAGTAATTTGGATATAACAGGATTTCCAGTGCAAGAAACTACATTTCAGCAGATATGTTTAAATTCATATATGGACATACTTGAAATTTTTAGCAGGGAATTGCCAATATTAGTGAAATATTGGAAACCCAAATGAATGACCAGAAGAAATTATGGATGCGTAGTCGACATTCAGGCTCAACACCTTTATTCTCATATTTCGTATTTGTGATATCTCAGGCTGCAAATTCATTGATTCAATAACAGAATTCTTTTATAAATTTGTTTTAAGATTAATTTTACTGATACCAACTAGTGAAAAAGTTTTTGTTATTAAATTTGTATTGGCCGTCATATTTTTGGGCACGGTACCAGCTGAAAAATTTATAACTAAGAAAATCTTTCTTCCTAACTAATATAGCGCGTACTCCCATTTTTTTAATACTCTCTAAAATATACTAACTACTGGTATGCTCATTTTCTCTTTCCATATTTGAATACTAGAAAAAGTTCGTCTTTTAACACATCATCTGTAAGATGTTTAATTTTTTTAATATTAAGTGATTGAATACTGCTTTGTACATATCTTAAATTAAAATCTTTGTACCTATTATTCATTATGTTGCTTTATTATCATCTTATTGTCATTATGTAAAATAATGTAAAATAATGTAAAAATAATTTTTACAATATTTTGTTGCTCTAATTCTATGATCATTTTATTTATTTAAAGAATAGCTGCTGTTACAAATAAATTACATTAAAATAGAAAAGTATTACTAGTCCTATATTTAAAAATAATGTTTAATAATATCAGAGAGAAAGAAGACATGACATGACAGCCCAAAACCTGTAACCGCAAAATGCTTGTGGTTACGTTGTGACTGCTATGCCCAATGTAATTCCTGAACGCAGCTGCAGTTTTTCCGTCAGTAAATATCTAGTAACTTTCAGTGGAATTTACGAACGCAAATGAAAATAAAAATCTGAAATTTGACATCTTTATTCAAATAAGTTTATGGCTTTAATTTTATAATATTTTCACTGAATTTGCCGAATGTCGCGTGCCAGTCGCAACTGCACAAGATTTTGTCAGATTTTTATATAAAAAAGGAGCACATGGCTCAAAACAGGACAGTGTAAATATTTATTCGAGATATATTTTAGATAAAAAATAAAAATGACAAATTATTCCTTATGGAAAAATATTAATGGATTTGTGAAAAATCGATTGGAAATAATTAGAAAATCATTTAAGAGAGAATCTTGTATACTATTTGTTCTAATAGGTTTTTCATTAATTCAATAATACATATTTTCCCACTAGAAGAAAACATAAAATAATTGTTTATTATACTTTATACTTTTATAGCAAGAAAATACGAAGTTCTCGGACAACACAACTGCAATATATCAAAAAATGTTGAATTTTTTTTATTTAAATAAAGATAGTATTAAGATAAATATAATATAAAGGTAAAGTATTTCTACTTAAATAAAGGTTATCTATTTTAATTTTAAATGAAAGTCTTGCTGAAGGAAGATACAATTCTTTACACGGAAAAGAAGAGACACAAAAAAAATGGGCAGAGCTAGCTGCAAAATTAAATTATGTTCAAGGGACGACAAAAACTGCCGAACAGTGGCAAGTGGTATGTGCGTAATATATTATATTTAGAAGATCTCCAGATTATCTCCATGTCTAAATTTATTATTAGAATGTCAAAATGTCTTAAACATTGCAGTTTATTTTATCAAGGCAATGAGCAGCCTTAGTAATATCACCTCTTGATAAAGTAAAATGCAATGTTCAAAAAATATTAGCATTTTAATAATAAATTTGGACACAGAAATAACTCACAAAACGTACATATATTTGTCAGACTTGAAACTCAGTTGTAAACTAATGTCCTAAATTGTGTTTTAAAACACAAATAGCGGTTCATTAGTGTGTTTGAACTAGAAATCATAAGATTCATATAAAAATATTAAGTACCAACATCCACTGTGACCATATATGGCCTTTCTTATATTGTTTTAATATATTACAGGTGATTTTCATACTGTTTTAAAAATAAAATGAAAAATAATTCTATATATTTAAGTTTGGAGAAATTTGAAAAGTCGTACTTCTATGAAAGCACGCGACTTGAGAAGGACTAAGTCGATAAGGAAATAAATTCAAATAACCTGCAGAATTATCAAAAATAGAACTGCGAGTCATTGGATTAATCGGCTTGGAGTATATTGAAGGGAGTAAGGATTGCGCTGAAAATATTCCAGATGAGGAGGTATACACGCACACACACACACCACACACACACACACACACACACACACAGAGATTTCAAGCTTTAAAACTCTATCTTTAAATTTAAATTGCGTTATCATATTGTACAATTTTGAATTAAAAAATACGAAGAAACTTTTTCCCCGACCCAATATATATAGAGATATTTACATATATGAAGTAGTTTTAATGAATATTTTATATATAATAATTTTGAAATGGATAATTGTAAAATTATATATGTTTCAGAATTATTCATTTTTCAATCATTATATATAAAACATTTATTATTAAATTTACTTTACTTTCAATAATTTATCTGACAATAGTGATTATCAGTATAATGAGACAAGCTATTATAAAGTCTACATTTATCTATACAATGACTATGTTTACGCAGTCCAATTTACGCCGAAATTATAATATCTGATGTTATAACTATTAATATTAGATGCCGTGTAAACTCATATAGCTTCCCATAGACATCCTAAAGACATTCAGAAGACATTCTTCGCCCTAAGAATATCCTCAGGACTTCTCGCAGATTAATGTTTGTGCTATATGGAAACACTATTTTACGATAAAGTTCAGTTTGGATTCACAAGAGAACACGAAATCAGTCCGTCCATCAAACATCTGTGTAACCCGTCGGAAAATATTTAAGTAACAAAAGATAAAAGTGAAGTAAAAGACTTTATTACTAATAATTTACTCTAATACTTATTTCTTAAAAAATGTGTGAGACAATTTTGCTCCGATCTCGATGTTTCCTGCGGATCGCGAACCCGTTGTGTTCGCTCCTGATATAACAAAATAAAAAATAAAATATTGGGAAAATATCGGAAATGTATTTATATACTGCTAGTCTGCTATATGAAAAGAGATATCTGTTTTGGTAGGTTACTATAAAATTGTGTTCTTTTTACTGTATATATATGAAACAAACATCTGTTTTACAAAATTACATTCTTATCTCTTTAATTTAAATTATTAGTCATAATCATAAAAGATTCATATTGTATAATTACAGTTCCATATTTTGCTGATCGTATTTTACATTTTGTTAACAACATTGTTTCACAATGTTCGATATATTATGTATGTACGATTAAATATAATAATATAATAATAAAATAATAATAAAATTGTAAAACACGATTGTATAAACTGTTTTGTTACAAAATATATAAAATGTTATTATTTTATTTTGTTATTAAACAATTACTTTGTTTAAAAATTATATCAATAAAAAAGATTTTTTAACAAATCTTCTCTAAACATACGAAATTATCAAAATATATAAGTTAGCTATCTTGACATATTTCTTATTTAAAAAAAAATAAAGATTATTATTTTCAAAGTACAATAATTTTTAATAATAAATTTCTAATAATCGATTCTAACGGATTATTACCATTGGCTATTTGGGATATAAGATAAATTAGCTATTTATTTTTATAATATAAAACAAATTATTTTTGCTATTACAAGTGCATTTCAATTTAGTTGATAATGAAAAATAGTCTTAGAGACACAAAGAATATTTTGCTGCATAATGATTAAGCAAATGTATATTTCCAATTATTATATGAAGTCTTAAATATTTTTTAATTAAGTACAAGATTAAATCGTAATTCTATGCAACAAAGTCTAGGTCGAACTATTATTTATGATTATGAAACAGGTTTTCGTTGCCATTCTACTTCCGAGTCTCCTGAACCTCCGAATCCTTCGGTTCCCCCGATTACCCTGATCACTCTACATTCCCGCTCCAATGCAATGATGAACCCATGGATTTGCATATAAAGACTTTCTTATCGGTTTCGCAACAGATATCATTACGCACTGGAAAAAATTACGCGTGATTATAAACTTGCACGATGTTTTTCATATAACTTAAATTAT